AAAGAGACCGGAAAAGGCTCTGCAGGGAAAGCAGTAAATCCAGATCTTTAGTAAATCCAGAGCTTTTTTTTTTTTTTTAAAAAAAAAAAAAAAAAAAAAAAAAAGCTGTATCTGGAAAAAAGAGTCTAGCCATGCAATTAATATTCAACACCTATTATGGATTTTAAATAACTCTTACCTGGTTCTGAGAGTCGATACAGAATATGGCCTATGACTCTGGTCTCTTCTGTTCTCCAGAGTGCTGGGCTTTCCTTACTAACTTGCTCTAATGCCTTTAACACAGACTGACTAACAAGATACTATTGAACAGAGACATTGTGGGCGGCAGCACAGTTAAAGACTAAAAGGAGTGAGAGCCCAGATTTGGTTGTAGGAGCTGACCTTCTTCTACCAGCTCAGCTGGCTCTTCATGGGATGCCGACATGTGAGGCCGGAGTCCATTGCCTCTTGCAGCCTATCATGTTGTTACTGACTTCGTCCTTATTTCAGTAAGTTTTGGCTGCCTGGGGTGGACACCCTCACTTACGCTCCACTCTACCCACTTCTATTTTACCTTCTTGGACTCAAAAGGCTGGAATTTCAACAGCATTTTCCAGACTCTCTTGCAGCTAGAATTCTAGATATAAATTAGATTCCTCAAATTAGATATAGTTGCACGAGAGCCAGAAGGCAGAAGTGAGGCAGAAACCATCTTCCCACCCTTTCTTAAGCTGTTTGTTGCTTATAAGCAAGATCATTAAAGATGAGCTGATTTTTCAGCAGCATTATTCCAAGGTTCAATCTCCAGCTTCTTGGGTATTGAGAGGCAATTTGGCAGCAGCAGCCACAGCATCTTTATTCTGGCTTCCTGAGCCATGGACGGCAGCTGTGCGAGTATGTCTTGAGCTGCTCTTTCCAGGTGTGATCTCAGAAGCTGCCCTGGTGAGTCAGGCCTGGATTGCCCCACATCTTCCTGTTCCACCTCCTCCACCATCAACCACATAACCACTCACATTTCTTGAACGCTCACTATGTGTCAGGCACTGAATGTTCTACACAAATCATTTTATTTAAACCCCAAAACGACCCATGAGAAAGGTACTATTAATATTCCTTTGTTCCAGATGAGTCTGCTGAGATTCAGAAAAGAGAGGTAAATTGTATAGGATCAGAGCAAAGCTAGCAGGTGAATGAGCAGAGCTGGAATTCGATCCCCAAAACTGCCTGGCTCTAAAGACTGAGCTCTGTCTCTTTAAACGTATTTGAGGACCTGGGACCTATTAGCAGATTTGAATTGTTCATACATGTTATGTTGCTGAAAAGACATCATTCTTTTTCCCCTTTAACGATCTACACGTAGAAGCCAGCCTATTTTGTATCAAGATGCATCCAGATATCGAAGAAGGCTTCAATCTAATTAAACAGAAAGGCATTTGAAAAATCCAGAGGTATCACTTGGTAAAAACGTGTCTAAGTCACACCAAGATCGTCTTTATTGTAAAATCTAGAGAATTGAGATGAAGGCAGACACAGCCTTCTTCCTGCCTCTGGGAAGACCAGAGCTGGGGATACAGGCATGAACTTACCAGGCACTCTGTTAACCGCGAGGTTTCGGAAATGGCTGCCTTTGATCATCTCCACGGATAATCGCCCCGTTGTGGCATTGTATGATAGCCCCACCAGCAGCTCTGGCGCCCCTCCATGCGACAGCGACTGCGTGGATGAAGCGCTGCCACTGTGAGAAACTGCAGATGGGCTGAGCGGAGACTCTCCACTCTGGAGAAGGAGAACAACAAAGGACCCATTGGCCCCACTGCACTCCTCTCCCTTACAGAAAAGCCGATATTATGTTTGGTGAAATTGTGGCCCAGTCTCCACTGCTGCCAAAGATTACTAATGGCGCACTCGGTGTGAATGATAATAGGGCCTGGGGAGCGCAGTTTTGGTCTTTCCTCTCTAAAGACAAAACGGACAAAGATGTTATTACTAGTGTAAATCAAACCCTGGAAGATACATAGAGAGCTAACAGGACACTTAATATAGACCCAAATTTCAATGAGTCTATATGAGACCCATATGGAACCCGTCCACTCCAGGCATGAGTTCTGCTTCTGTGCTCTGCAGCCTCTTGAGGAATGTAGCAATACAGGAGGCATTTTGTCTTCACCAGAAAAGAAATGACCACTGGCCGTCTACCACCCCATAGAACATTTGGCCCCTGGTTCTGCTTTTTCAGGTTATCAGGAATATGGCAGATGCTACATTTTTTCTTCCTAAGGAGATGAATTATATTGAATGTGAACACTTTTACAACTGTTTAGTGAGGAAGCTGACACATGGACTGTGCATCTTAGAGACCTTGCAGGTACCAGGGGAGCCCACACTTTGTGTCATGTATTCATGCATGTGCTTCTCTAAAGCACCCACCTCTATGCACCAGACACACTGGGAGGAGGAAAGCAAAGTAGATCAGGACGTTGACTCTCACTCAAGGAGCATGAGTGGGAGTGGACCCTGAGGGGCAGGTCAGCCAGCCTCCCGGTCCCACAACTGCTCCAACCTTTCTTCTCAACATCTGCAATCATTTCCTAAGACTTCTTATCAGGAACCCCAATAAATAAATGCATTGAAAGAAATTAAATATTCTTCACATCTTAGGAAACTACCCTGTTTACCAAGCCATGGACATCCCTGTAGAGCCCATGGAGGCTTTCATAGAACACAACTTGTAAACTACAGGGCTAGGTGGTTTTGATAGATGCCTTATAGCCCCTGCTGTCTGGATGATGATAACCCAACAGTGAAATATTTGCCTAGTTTGGGGTGAGGGCCACCCCCTCCCCTGGGCTTGTGCAGAAGCGTCCACTGTGGCACCTGTCACTGCACAGCTTGCCTCTCGCATCAAATTCTCAACCTTATAAATCCACAGGGCATGGCCCAGTGTGTAGCTTATAATCATGCTCAACAAATAACTGGTGAACGGGGAATTTTTACCTTCAAGGTTCTTTCACACTGGCTCATTTCCCCCACTCAACTCTGTGCCCCCAGCACAGGGCCCAGGGCCCGGCACAGAGAAACAGGGGTGTAATAATACCTATCCTTATGCTTTATGGTGCAGGATTCCTCTGACCTCCTGTGGCTTCTGTCTCCCAGGATTTCAGAAACACTCTACTCAGAGCTTAAGAAAAAAGAGGGATTTGAACAGAGATGAGACATGATCTGGCTTATGTTTTAAAAGGCTCTTTCTGGCCCCAGTGTTGGGAATAGTCTATAGAGGGCAAAGGCGGAAGCACGGAGATGACTAGGAGGCCATTTCAGTAATCCAGCCGAGAGTCAGGCTCTGGTTAGATTTTCAAGATAGAGCCAGTAGGATTTCAGGTGGAAAGGAGAGAAGTCACAAGTGACTTTTAAGATTTTTGACCTGAGCAATTAAATGCACAAGATTGCCTTTAACCAAGATGGAAAGGCTGCAGGTAAAATAGATTTAGTGAGGCAAAAATCAGGATTTCGAGTCTGGAGATATGAATTTTGAGACATCTATTAAAAATGTAAGTGGCTGGATCTCCCATCAGTGCACTCTGGACTTTCCGGCTCCTTTCCCCTTCCTCAGACAAGTCAAGCTCTTTCCCACCTCCTGATGTCTGCATATGCCAGCCCCTCTGTCTGGAATCCCCGTCCTCCACATGGCACCCAGTCTGGCTCCCTCGATTCCTTGAGTTCTCTCGTATTACCACCTGAAAGATACTTTCTCTGACCTTCTAAAGCAGCAGCAGCCTCTGCCTCTCTCTCTTTGCCTACCCCAGTTTGTCTTTTGTCACCCTCCTCCACCAGATTGTACGCTCCATGAGGGCATCACCTGTTTTGTTCTTTCCTGCATCCCCTCTGCCTATACGGCACCTGACATATAACTGGTACTCAGCAAACATTTTGGAATGGATGACTGATTTGTCCAATAGCCCAAGATAGTTACCCGATCTTTTATGTGATTTTTAAAAGGAGATCCTCACACTGGATGACATATAACCCACGGGAAGAGAGGTTACCCATCTTGTAGACATAAAAGCTGTGCTGTATTATTTTGCAATCTGAGGGACACAGAGGACGGGGCATGTGGGAGAAGCCCAGTCATATAAATGGAAGGTCTTAGAAGTGGCTGGAGTTCAGGGCTTCCTATGCAGCCTATGTAGGCATACCTGTTAAGGACCTCACCTTGAAAGTCCCATCATCTCTGAGATGCATCATGATGCATGCTGGGGTCAGGGCAGGGGGATGGGTGGTAGGACCATTTATCAGCTAACGAGAAGGCCAAAAAACCTCTCCCAGTTTCCCCGTGCCCTCCTTCACAATGCTGCTGTCATTTCCTAAAATGGACAGGGAACACATCCATCAGGTTATAGCGACTATGGGCACACACAAAAAAAGAAAACCCACTGTACCGTGAAGTGCCGATCATGTCTCAGAAGGATGAGGAGAGCCAAATGGAAAATTAAATTAAGGTGTTTGAATTCACGGGCTGAATATACTAAATCAAGGGCTGACAATTCCAGATCCTCAAACGTAGCGCATCATTAGCAGCACCATTTAACATACTCACAATGATATTACTTGTTGGCTCCAGAATCAGAGTCACTTTCATTTCCCCTTCTTGGTGCAGGTGGCTGAGATAGAAGAGCCTCTCGCCCATCATTCTCTCCCAGGTCATCTTGCGGGTGGCGTACAGGCGGAAGCGGACAGCACAAGCAGCCACATCTCTGGGCTCCAGCTTGGCGAAGGTGACTTTCTCCTTGAAGACGGGGTTGGGCCCTCTCTGTATGTTCGTCCTGCCCCTCTGTTTCTTACTGGGCAGCAGCACGACATGCACTTGCCAAGAGTTGATGCCACTTCGGTCCTTATCTGGGAGGCCCTGTGCTCTTATGATGGTCACTGTGAGCTTCTGGCTGGCAGCTCTATATTCAAAGATGACATCCAGGCCACCACATTTTGAGATGGGCTCCAGGACCCCAGATGGCACTTGAAAATTGGTTCCATCCTGTTCCTGTTGCAGACAGAGGGAAAGATTAGGAATGGAACAATGCCTAATACGTCGTGGAAAGATGGTGCCCCTCTATGCTTCTTCAGAACCTCATTCTTTTGGACTGTTCCCATATATCCCTAAACATTAGAAAGGTCTGTTTCCTGGTCTCTCTCTCCACTGGACTGTGAACTCTTTGAGGGTCCAGCACTGGGCACATGGTGCCCATGAATGGATGCTTTTGGAATGAATGAACAAAGCTTTTATATTTTGCAAAGTGCTTTCCTCTACACTGCCTCTCAAAAAAGCACAATTGACCACTATCATTGAAACCAACTGAGATACTAAGTCTAAAACTAGTCAGTTATGCAACTGCCAAAAGGTAACTTCCTCAAGTCCCCAGGAGAAATGGTTCAGCCTGGGCCTGTGCTCTCTGAGCCAGGACCTCCTGCAGATAAGGATCCTAATGGGGGTCACAGACAGGTGATCCTTCAGTAGATTTTCAATCTACGTGGCAGAAAATGTTCAGGGCAGAGCTTCTCAAACACCCGAGTGGACTTGAATCATCTGGGAATTCTGATTCAGTAGGACTGGGGTCAGGCCTGAGATTCTGCATTTCTCAGGCCACAAGGATGTCTCAGCTGGACTCAAATCACTCTTAGAGTAGCAAGTGTTTAAGAAGGTATCCTAAACCTGGAGACAGAACACCTGGGTTGAAATCATAACTCTACCACTGACTAGCTTTTTGGCCATGGCCAAACAGGCCAGTCTCTCTGTACTCCAGCTGAAAAATGAGCATCAAGGTACCTGCTTGATAGAGTGTTGTTGTGAGGTTTTAATAGATGTGGGAAAATACCCGGCTCAGACCAGCCTCCATAGATATCTATTCCCATCACTGGACTGATACTACTTATTTTCAAACACAGCCCCTCATTATGAAATACACTTTTAGACAGCAGTTCACCTCAGCCAGTCAGATCCAATGACCTCCCTGAGAAAACTGAGCTGAACTACATTTACTTTACTATAATGAACCACCCTCTAATAAACTATTACTAATGTCAACATAATTTGATTTTTTTCCTCTGAAGGCATGCCTCTTACTCATAACTAAACTTTGGTTTGATTCTTATTGTAAATCAGAAGCAGTTCTTCTTTATGTAACTGAACACCAACTTTGCTAATTCAAAGAACTCTTTATTTTTAAAAATATAATGATACCCTTCAAAAATGCATGTTCATCAATGAAACTTTCCCATAGATCTAGGTGAAAGTGCATGGTTCTCTGGAATGAGATGTGCTTAGGAATCCCAGGTCCATCACTTACAACCTTTAGGACATTGGGCAAATTATTTAATCCTTCTCACTTTCTGTTTTCCTCAACAGCAAAAGGGGGAGGATACCTACTTTATAAGGTTGTTGTGAAAATTAAAGGACTTGACACATAGTAGACATCTAATAATTGCCCTCTCTTTTAAGATTCACATTGATCTACCAAGAAAATTTAGGCTTCTTGCAAAATAAGGGAAGCTTTTTACATCCTTTCCTCTGAGCATGCATTCATGTGTGAGTGTTTCTATTCAGAGGTACTTAGTTTCAAGTGATAAAAGTGGTTGCTATAGAGACTTCTGAATACAACTGACTAGTGTAGATATAATATTAGAAGCAAGTCTCCAAGGCGTTAGGTTAACTCAAAAATCAAGTCATAGTCTTCCGTTCAAACTCCCATCTATTTTAGCCTACCTTTGGTCATCTCTATATTGCTTGCTGGACCATAAGTAGTAACAGCTAACATCCACTAAGCCCTCCCTTATGCCAGGTACCACAATAAACCCTTTATGGACTGTAAAAGCCCACTCTTACGCACTTCAGAACTCCTTGGCCTCCCCTCCTGTTCCATTTTCCCCTACAGGCTGTCTGGGCTCTAAGTGGCTTCTCCCTGGCACAATCCAACAAAGTCTTGCCTCCCTCCCATGCAAGGTAACTCTCAGCTCCCACCACAGGCCTCTCCTTTGATGTCAAGGCTTGGAAATTTACAGAATCCTGCTTGGTACTCATGTATATAAAGTCCATAGTCGGGGGGCGGGGTGGGTGGTGTTAATGCCCCGTGCAATAAATTTTTCTCCCCTTGGACAGATGGCCTGAGACTAGTTTATACAGTTTCTTAGGGTATGGTTCCACAAGAGCAAGCCATGAGTCACAATTAGTGGTAGCCAACTCCATTAGACATTCTCATACCGGCTCTCCCTTCCCTGCCTCACTCTCCTCGTCCCTCACTCTTGTCGCCGGGAATTGCATGTCCTAACAAAGTAGGCTCTGCTTTTGGGAAATCCAGCTAAGAAACATCTTTTCAGACATTCACATTAACCTAATGAGGTAGGTATTTCAATATCTTCATTTTATGGGAGAGGAAACTAAGGTTTAGAATGGCTAAATAACTTAACTCCTTGCCCCCAGTATCATATGCCCAGCCAGAATTACCCAGGATTTGCTAGTATTAATGCTCAAAGTCCCAAGCTTTACGGGGAACCATGATGTCTACCTTATTCCCCCACAAACCTTTCACCCTAGCTATTTATAAGTATAGTAAGTGTGTGAGATGAAGAGGGAATAAGATGGACACATCTTATTGGAAGTTGGGAGTTGGAAACACACACTACTTTGAATTTCATATCCTTTTAGGCCCCTGCTCTTGATATTAACTAACAGTTCCTAGTTTTGTCATCAACTTCAATGCCAAATAAAATATCCTAGTTAATGAGCATCTTCCCACTTATCTATCAGGCTCTCTGTTCAGATAAATGCTCACTCCATCTGCAGGTTTGTGGTGAAGTCCTGGGGAAAGGGTCTGAAATAACTGTCCTACGAAACTTGAATCAGACACTGCTCCAGGCAATGGCCAGGCTCTGGATGGGGACAATCTAGGCTGTGGTCCGTGAAAACTGGGCTTTGTGGCCCCTTCCTGGGCTGATCTGAGATCAAGATTTGTGAAGGCTGATATTTTTATAGCAATTAATTATTTCAACATACTCTACCTATCACCAGGCAACTAAAGGCGCTCCTCTTGTGGGTACTGTTAATACCACTAATCCATCTGACCTTCCTGCAAGGCAAAAATCTCTTCATTTTTATCCCCATTTGGCAGATTTTAATTAACTTCTCAAGGCCAATCAGTTAATCAGTGGAAAGCGGAGATGAAAAGTGGGACAGCTGCCTCTCTGTGCACTCAAAATCACCAGCCGCCCTCCCATCGTCTTCCCTGCCAAGCCTTAGGTCTGCAGGAAAAAGTCGACAGCCTTTTCCAGCAGAGAAGAGCAGTGCTTGCAAACCCATCAGCCTAACAGGTAGTCACACTGCATGACCAGTTCCCTTTTGAGGCAAAATAAATGATTCCTTTAGCTCTCATATCCTGGGTTTTTCTTTAAGATGGGAATACTTGTGCCACATTGTCAAAACCCATGAAGATATAAAGATTTTCTATCAAACTGAAAGGCTTTCTGTTTTAGCAAGATAGTGTTAATGTCATCTGTGTGGCCCAAAGTAAACAGACCCACAGTGTGTTCCCGATGCCAGATACGCAGGGGAAGACAGGCTTCTTAATACAGCTAAGAGGCAAATAAATCAATTCTTAAAAGGCGAGCTAAGCCTGCAAAGCAGGCATTTACGGGAACTGCCTCCGAGCTGCATCTGAGGTTCTACTGTAGGAGCACCAAATTACAGTTTTTGTCTCAAAATAGATAGGAGGTTGAATGGAGCACACAGAGATGTCTGGGTATTTTTGGAGTCTGAGACCATTTAGTGCCCTCAACACCAAATCTTCTACTAAAGTTCCATGAGGCAGGCAAATGGGAGGTTACCTGGAGAAAGCAATTCCAAGGCTAATGGTACAGTTATCAAGGGGAGAGACTGTCAATAGGCAGGTAAACAGCTCTCTTTTGTTTTTGTGGCGAGAGAGCCAAAAAGAATAGTAGTTTTAAACATTAAATGTTAGTGTGTGGGATGTGATATGACTCTTGGCAGTAAACTGGTAGGGAAGCACAATTTTTTTTACAAAATGTATAAGGTTGATAGCTTTGAGGGTCTCTGTATGAAGGTTTGCTTTTAACCAGCCACAAGCCACCTATCTGTGTTGCCATTTCCGGTCCTCAGCAGTAACACAACACCCAGGCACACATGCACCTGTGCCATCTCCTTATGCGCTCTCTACATGCCCCAGTGCCTTAGCAGTCAGGCTTTGAAACATAACTATCTGTGATTATTTTTCTTCTCCTTGATTTGGAGAAGCATTTGAGCATTTGGTGTTTATGACAGTCCAGGTCCTAATAAGAGATGCGTCCTGTTTATTTTCTCAGTCAGACTGATGCTAACAAAATCCATCCACCCTTCTCATTCCTCTATTCGCACAAATTAAAGTTTCATATAGTTACATGACTTATTTCATCAAAATTAATTTCAAAGTAGGTATTAGACACCATTATTTAACATCTCTTAATGTCACAGAATCATAATCAGAGGGGTCTAGCTAATAAAGAATAACCATAAGTGCCTGTAAGATAAAACAATGTTTGCAAATTCTTATCACGGTGCCTGACACATAGTAATTGCTCAAAAATGGTAGTTTCTATCATCTTCACCTCCAGTCAAACTTCTGGATGTTTAGGCGTATTCGAGAGTAAGTTTCAATTGAAAAAGAAATTTAGACGACGCATCTTTTATCAGAGATTTATCCAAAAAGCAAAGTCAATGGCCAAAGGGTCATGATAGACTAATGCCATAGCCTAGATCTTCAATTCAATTCGGAGCTAACAAATATGCTCATACTGCAAGATCTTCCTCATAATATCTTGTATAATTTCATTTGCAGGGGCACTGTATTTTAGTTTCATTTTCGAATAATTCTCACATTCAAAGAATCATAACTCAAGATTTGGTGTAAATAAAAATAAACTCTATTTAATTGAAACCATGAAGGAAATAATCCAGTCTCCCTAAAGAACTAAAAACCCGTTATATAAAAAAAAAAGAAACCTGATTGTTGCTGGGTTCTTTCTGCCACCATGCTTCTTTTTATTTTTCCATTTTGATAGATTCCACTTATATATGATTCTTTTATTGGCACACATAAGGGCTGGGCCTTGGTCATCTGAACAAAAAATATATTTCCATTAAAGGCTCTTAAGGTGTTTGTTCTTCAAAGCAATGCTTCCTTCTTTTGGAGAAATTTTTTCCTGAGGGATGGAGGAGGGGAGATAGAAGGGGGAGGAAGGAAAAGGGGGAAGGGAGAGGGGAGGGGAAGGAGAACGACCAACCAGAGAGCACACAATACTCAAGCAAGAAAAAAATGGAAAACAAACAACTTGCCTCTGGACTCCACACGGAGGAGCTGTCAGTGGCATAGGAATCTTCAAATCTCCGGTTATTAAAAGCTGTCTCCATCTCCAAGCTGCCCTGTGTGGACTGCCGGCTGAGGCTGCGGACCACGCTGGTCTCTTGGGGAGATGCGCCATGGTGCCTGGTGTCCCCCACCTCACAAGGGGACTGTGAGTGGGCAGAGACGGGGTCATCTTCACCATAAGACAGATTCTCAGAATAAGTCAGTTGGCTGGCTCCATCCAAACCTAAATTTGCAAAAAGGAAACTCTTTCAAATATGTTATCATGTTTCACCTTTTTATCTAGAGAAAATGAGCAGTAGCAACGTAGCAACTACATCAATCAAGTCTGCAAAAACAAACTCACTAAACAACACCTGCAGAAACATACTTTCATCTATATGGTAGATAAATTTGGTCCATAAAATCGAAACCCATTAGTTCATTATGTAGGGTACAAGAAGGTTTAATGCTTTATAATAATATGAGTATAAAGGATGAGTATTACGTGGATAAAATAAACACATTAGCATTTGGTTGGAGCTAATGACCACAAGACCTTCGGGATGAATCTAGAAAGCAAGAATAGTAATCAGCTATAGAGATCATATGTTTTCCTGGCTTTACCATTCTTCCGTCTCTCTTCCACGTTCACCATATCACCCTCTGCTCAAAAGGCTTCAGTGGTTCTCTCAAGCAAAAAGTTCTCTACTTAATCCATGGAAAGAACACTGGACTTGGATTCATATGATCTGAGTTTAAATCCTAGCTCTGCATTAAGAACTTGAACAACATTTGAACTGCCTTAACCTCTGTTTTCTTATCTATAAAATGATGATAAAAGCCATCAGAGAGTCACTGTGGACACGTGAAATAATATCTGCCTGGCAACCACCAGCCCTCCCTTAAATTTTAGCCTTGCTTACCTGTCTGGCCTCAGCCAACCCAGCAAATCCCATTTGCTACTACCTCCCAGCTCACAGACACCTGTGGTCTCACAGGTCCATGAAAATGTTAGCTGTGTATTTTGGTTCACAGCGGTCCTCAAGCCCTCGCTCCTGTCCTTTCCTTCCTGTCCATCCAAAGCCCCGACAACTCCTGAATCTTCCCTGACTCCTTCAGGCTCAGTGTCTTTCTCAGGCTTCGTGTCATCCTATTCTCTTTCTCTTCATCCCCTTCCTCTTCCTCAGTGTCCAGGTTACCCTCAGATAATAAGGAAAAACTGACAGGGTCTCCCTAAGCAACAGCTTTCACCCTAACTTGCTTCCACATCCAGAGAGTAGCCAACAATGTCATAACTCTTGGGCCTCTACTCTTCTCCAGTGGGCCCCATCCCAGGATGATAGAAAATTAGAAATATAGACAGGATTAGTGAGGATGACAAAGTATATATGGTAAATCCAGCTCTTATTTACACACTGTATGATAGCAATTGCTCCCATAGTTGGTCTTAAAATCCGAGCTAAAACATAACGTCCTTGAAGGCGCTAAGCCACATCTGTATACTGCATAGTCTTTATCTACCAGTGGGTTTTACTAAATCTCAAATAACTTTAAAGGCTCGCAGATAAAAAATATTTGAAACAGCCAGGTGTGCAGCAATATCGAGTGGTGGTGACAGTGGTTTAGCAGACAATATATGACCCACCTACAATAAACACCCAAATTTTAAAATACGTTATCACGCTATGCAGACCATATAAAAACATCTTTGGGAAGACTTGGTTTTCAGGGCACAACTTCAGACTCCTGATTTGGGATTTTGCCAAACCATGGCAAGCCACTGAGGTGTTCCCCATCTGCCCTGTTATTCTTAATAATTCACTTCGGGCCTCTTGGAAGCTGTGTCATAGGGCACCTAACATCTTTACATTCACATTTTCCGTTATTTGGCAAACACCCTTAAAAATGGCCACAGAAAATGACAGAACGAGGGATATTCCATATGCAAAAACCGCATAACACAAAGCAGAATTTTCTTCTCAGGCTCTAATCAGTCCATCCATTCCTCACATACACAAACACTGAAATGTCCTATTAAACAGTGGGTCATCCATCCACATGTGTAGCACCCAGCAGGATCTCAGCACAAAATCTAACTTTGCCAAGAAATTACCCCCATAAAATTGTCTCATGACTTCAACTCCTACGGTGATAATACTTAGATCAGTAATAATGGAATTTTCAAAAGCTACATTAAAGCCTTGAAAAGCTATTCATAACTGAAAAACATAAGAACTATATTAATGTAACAAACCATTTTCCTTGACAGACAAGCAAGGAATGAGTTAGAAAGGCAAATCTGGGGGACAAGTCAAGTTGCAAGGAGGGGGAAGGGGAAAGGTGATTCACTGTTACATAAAGCAGTCTTCCTGTGCTTTAAGTTAAAGAAGGTCATGTCACCTTAAACACATATGGAAAAGTAATTGCCTGCTGTCGAGAAATGTATCCTGGCTTCTTAGAAATTACAGGACATAAGTATGTCACATCAACCATATTTATTTTAGTAGAGGAACGTTTTTAGTTCATATCCCATTTTGATGGAGTGTAAACCTATTATCCAATTACTTTCTTTCTACTCCCAGACCCCTCCCTCCATCACCCATATACCAATACTTTTTCTAACCATCTGTGATGATCAGTTTTATGTGTCAACTTGGCTACAGGCCTCAATTATTCAATCAAACAGTAATTTAGGAGTTACTGTGAAGGCATGTTGTAGGTGTAATTAAAGCCCTTAAGCAACTGACTTTCAGTAGAGGGGATTGTACTACATAATCAGTCCATTGAAAGGCCTTAAGAGGAGAACTGAGGCATCCCTGAAGGAGAAGCAATTTCATCTATGGACTGAAGCTTCATCTCCTTCCTCAGAGTTTCAGCCTATCCTTCCCAGCAGCCTGTCCTGTGGATTTCAGAGCTGCGTATTCCAGTGGCCTACACAGCCCCTACAATCGCATAAGTCACATTTTTGCAATAAATCTCTTGAAATATTTTATATATATATATATATATATCTCACCCTGAAATCCCCTTCATATCTGATTGATACAATCTTGCTTGATACACCATAAAATCTTGCTTGATACACCATCCTAAACAAAAGTGAGCACAGATTCAGGGGATAATTGACCTGTTTTAAATGACACCAGGAAGGTAAGGACTAGCTTCTATGAAACACCCTAAGAACTAAATATTTCACAAGCAAAAGTAAGGCTTTGCTCAAAACAAACAAACAAAAAGCCCAATAAGTGGGCTATTATTCTGCAGCCCACCTTTCGTGCATAAAGACCTCATGCACAACTTCTGATTCAGATCACTTGGCTCAAACCCTCTTTGACATTATCAGGAATACAGGGACAATTAATGCACAATAACCCTAAATCAGATATGTGAGACAGGAGAGAACTTGCCTGGAATATGAAGATTTTTTTACATGGGTTTGGACCTTGAATTTCACTGGTCCAACATTTTGAATGCATTTTTTTTTTTTTTTTTTTTTTTTTTTTTTTTGTGATATGTGGGCCTCTCACTGTCGTGGCCTCTCCCGTCGCCGGACGCGCAAGCTCAGCGCCCATGGCCCACGGGCCCAGCCGCTCCGCGGCACGTGGGATCTTCCCAGACCAGGGCACGAACCCGTGTCCCCTGCATCGGCAGGCGGACTCTCAACCACTGCGCCACCAGGGAAGCCCTTGAATGCATTTTTTAAGTGAAACAATTGTCTACAATTAAATTTGATCTTAGAAAATTGTGTTTAAGGTAGAGGGAAAAATAGCTAAATAGATAGAGAATAGGCACCAAAAAACAAATCCTCTCTGGGCATGCTTAATCTTTTCCTTATTCTTTACTGCTGATGCAAATTCATTGATCTAAAGATGAACAAAAAAAAAAAAGGACACAGAAAAAAAAAATCATGCAATAAAAATTACATTAACATTTCCATGGCATTTGATAACCTAAAATTTAGCACACAGTTAATCATTCCTATGAAAATCCTGATGATTTTCTTCCAAATCTACAGGTAATTCATTTAATGTAGTGGACTTTTTCCTCCGTCCGATAGAGAAAAATTCAGCCTTTCTATCACCATCTGTCAAAAACTTCAGAATTGCACCAGTTACGACAAAAGTTGTTGCTAATTCCAGGAAGGGTGAGGGCTAGAGTATTTGTCAGAACTCTCAGAACAGCAGCCATTTGTATAAGTCAAAATCTAGACACTTGGGCTTCTGGGAAATGGGGCCATTAGCTTTAGAATTAAACAAGCTACTCATAGGGGATCAACTGCTATTAACTTTCATTAGCTAACATTTGCCGTCTCAGTGGAGAGAGAGGAATGCTGTGATGTAACAGCAGAGAAAAAGAAAACAGGAGAGGGGGTGAGGAGATGACAGAAGGCCATTAGCTACTGCTACTATGCTTTGATTACATCCGGAGTTTATCTCCTGGCTTACCTGGGGCTAAAAAGAAGAGCAGTAAAATGTTACGTAGGCCCATGCCAATAAGTAAAATTACATGATGGTCAGCAAATTATTATATTCCTGCTGAAAAATAGGGTTCTTTTTATTAATTTTCCTTTTTTCCCCCTTTGTTCTTTTTCTGCCTGCCTCATCCACATCACCAAATCAGAAATTTCTTCTCTGTTATCTTCTCTCAATTCTGTGCTCTCCTTTTTGTCTTTCTACTACTAAGTGTTGAAAAACAAGGAAGATCAACTATGCCCCCATTGGTTGGATGGACCACAGGTCCAGTGGAAAGAAGATTAGAGAACCCAGTTCATTTAGACCAGGTCACTACAGTGGACAGTATGACATTTTCTCTGGCTTTTTACCAAATACACTTCACAGACCCTTCCCTGTTCCAATGTCCTGTGCCTATTCAGGGTTCTGGACATAAAGGAGTTGGAGAGATGCCTGACCTTCGCTGGGGAAAGCACTAAGAAATATCATACTGTTCTCTTCCTAGGTTCTTCTGTGTGCACGGTGGGGAGGGAGAAGCACCCTTGACAAGGCCCACCCGCAGTCACAGGCTGTGCTCACCCTACCTCTGAGTGTCCTCCTCTCCCTTTGTGAAAGGTAAACTTACGATGAAGATGGAGGCTGGCGTCAAACCTGCTCTGACCCATGAATTCTCACATGGGCTGGGGTCCAGAAACTACAGGGAATGAGGGAGGGTGTGCCGGGCATGTGTGGTTTGAAAAAGGTTATTTAATATTATTATAACACATATTTTTATTTGGAAGATAAAACACACCTACTGTTTTAATATTACAAACTATCGAAAGTAAGGCTTCAAAAATCTGAGGTTACATAGATACATGGAAAATAGACTCTACGTTTCCAAATGGGAGGAAAGGCACAGAAGTGCAATGTCAGCAGACAGCTATGTAAAGTTTTTGTCCTCATCAGAAGGCAACAAGATTTTACAAAGCTTGGTAAATACCGTTATAGTCGTTAGTGTTCCAAATGTACAAAGCAGTAACCTACAAGAAAGGAAGGGATTCCACCAGTGGGGGTCAAGACTTTGGCACTTCTGATCCTTTCTCTCTGCAACAAGGCTGCTTGTGAGGTTTGAAGCAGCCCTTTCGCCCTGTCCCAGCCTCTGGGTCCTGCCCTATTTTTCTTTTTCCTCTCTGGACTCTAAGATGCAAGTGCAGTGACTCAAAAACATTCTTACCATTAGACATCCCTGGTCTAGATAAAGGAAAGGTTTGATGCAAAGAATACCTTCGCAGGCAGACACTTCGGTGCTGGCCTCTTCGTGGGTGGAAAGCCAGCGGCTGGGTTTTGCTTCATGCTCCAGGCCTGTCTGCTTTCCTTTCTCAGATGCTCCCGAGCGGAAACTCTGGGACCGGGACACGGAAATCTCAAATTGTTTGATAACCTCCTCATCGCTGTCAGAAGATGTGGGCAGCTTCTCATCAACTCCAAAGTTGTTAACTGGAAGCAAACAAGAGCAATGAGTCTCCTGCGGGGCTCATGAGAAAACAGATAGATAATCCGGAGAGACAGAAGAACATGGCCAATCAGTCTGGATCAAAGCAGACTGAACCTGGGTAGAAAGAATTCAAAGCACTTTTTCTTTTTTGTGATACGTGGGCCTCTCACTGTTGTGGCCTCTCCCGTTGCGGAGCACAGGCTCCGGACGCGCAGGCTCAGCGGCCATGGCTCACGGGCCCAGCCGCTCCGCGGCATGTGGGATCTTCCCGGACCGGGGCACGAACCCGCGTCCCCTGCATCGGCAGGCGGACTCTCAACCACTGCGCCACCAGGGAAGCCCTCAAAGCACTTTTGAAACACAAATTTGAGTCCACAGGAATGAAACAGGAAAAGAAAGCTCAGGAGGGTAATTAGAAGTACACGGCTAGAACCAAGAGAAACCACTGGGACACCCCTGACTAACATAATGAGCCCTCTTGTTGAGCTGGGCATCCTGCTGATTTGTTATGTTGCCGGCATGTGCTCATGACTGTGAACAGGACAGCAATCTGCACCTGTGCCTTATGTGTAGTTCTAGTCAATGATGACGGAAAATACTCCCTTCGCCTCACCTCAGTTATTAAAACATACAGAGCCAAGCCCCACTTCAGAGAAGAGATATTAGCAACTGAGATCTTCCCCAAACTTCCAGTTTTGACAAGTGACACCACACTGTATGGGTTTAAAAAGTTAATAAATAACTAGTTTATACTAGAAATGCCTTTCTCAGCACCAATGACTCAACCCAAACACCCTTTAAATTATTCGTACCACTTTTCCCACCCCAGCACACTGCTCTGGCCTCTTTGTTTCTCCAGCAGGCCGTGATGATGATCAGTTCTGCCCTTGCCTGTGCTGTTCCTTCCACCTGAAACTCCCCCTCCCGCAGGTGTATACCTGGCTGGCTCCTCTCACTACTGAGGTCTCAGCTTGACTGTCACTTCAACCTAAACACTTCTCTGACCATCCTCCTACCTGAAGCAGCTCTGTCCCCAGTACTTACCACCTTTCTTTCTTTCTTTCTTTCTTTCTTTCTTCTCCCCCATAACTTCCATGAAAATAAAGACATCACCTGTTTTGTTAACTGATGTCTCTGTAGTATGTAAAGCAATGCCCGCTGCATAGTAAGTACTTAATAAACACTTGTTAAATGTTGAATAGATTAGTGAATAGCCAGTATTTTCTCCCAAAACCCTGAGCGCTCCTCCCCGCTCCCCAACAACACTCACACATGGTTTCCTGTGCCTGGAATATGCTTTTCCAGCCCCGTCTAGACTCGTCCAGAATCTAGCTCACCATTCAGGTCTCAGCATAGACATCATTTCCTCCAGAGAGTCCTTCCTTGACCCCTTAAAACAAGATTAGGGATTTAAGGCTCCTTCCACATGCTGTAAAATCACTCCCTGTCCTGTCCTGCCAGTGCTCCCTCCAGCTCTGTGGCAGAATTACCTATTTAATTGCCGCCCATTCCACCTAACCTGTACACACCCTGAAGGTAAGGGGCACATCAGACTGCCCACCTTTGCATCCCTCCAGGCACTATCTCTGTGCCAGCCGCGTGGCAGGCTACTCTGTAAACATTTGCTGAATGCGATTTGGAAACGATACATAATGGGGAATTATTTTTTAAAGATTTCCTCTTTCCATCCAAAAGTCACACAGTGGTTCCTGGGAAGGATATGGGTGTTAATTCACAGATGGGTCCTGAAGATCACTTCTGAATCAGAGGCTAAGAAGAAATTAAAAAGCAATATTTTAAGTGAGAGAAAATACTTTAAACACCAGCCTGGCCAAAACATTTATTCTCTGGCTTAAGAGTTGATTTTCCTGAGGCTCTTTGGAAATTAGTAATTATAACAGACTGAATGCTTTTCATGTGCCAGGCGCTGTCCTAAGCACCTTATACATATCTCACACAAAACCCCTATTACTGTTCCCATTTTCCAAGTACGAAAATTGAGGCAGAGAAAAGTCTACAACTGGCTGAAGATCGTACTGCCAGGAACGGGAAGAATCAAGATTTGAATCAAGTCAGTCTGTCTCTAGAGACCACGTTTCTAATCACTCTGCCAGAGAATGGGAGAGAGATGGCAGAAAGAACTCTTATTCTCTGTGCTCGCATTAGCTATCTGAGTCTATGTGGCCAAGTCTCTTAACCTCTCTGACCCTGTTTCTTCATTTGTGGAAGAAATATCTTCACTTTAAATGTCTGGATAATTTTCCAGGTCTTTTCTAGATCTAAATTCTCCGACTCCAAACTTTCTACCTGACAGGCACCAACATTCAATCTGTTTCTCTCTTGTATGGAGCAGCTGATACATGAACATAAGAGCATAATATTGTTTTCAGCTCACTCAATTCTATTGTTGGCTGTGACCAGCCCCATGGTAGGACCTGAAAAGCTAAGTGTTAGAAAAGATTCCATTGCTGTCTCAACAGAATGCCATTACAATGGACAGTCTCCTCGCGTCTCAACGTGCTGGGCATAGTGCTCTGGTATGGGATGGACCATCACATATGGAAGATACCCAGAGACAAACGGGACCAAAACTAAACTCTCTCCACCTTTAGAGTACAGGACCAGCTAAGCACCTGGGAGGTAGTCAGGGAGATACATGCATTGGTGAATTGGCTGGATTAGACATCCATTGGCACTTTTTCCAACTCTGATATTCCATTCCATTTGTATTACTAGGCCAGTTTTAAAAAATGTAAATAGTCAAAAGCCCTCAATTTTAAATTAAGTGAGTTAGTCCATGGGTATTTCCTCATGTATGAAATCAGGAACTAGAATTCATTAATTTACCAGTATGTAGTCCTTGATTTTTTTTTCAGTGAGCCACTGATCATCCACAGAGCACAGATTCTCCTCACTCGAAATAAGAATCATAACAGTAATTATAATGCTTCCCATTTACTAAACATATACTATATGCCAGGCACCTTCTGGGCACTTTGCATATATTATCCCATTTAATCATCACAGCAACACCATGAAGTAGGGATGATTATTATTATTCCCATTTTAGAGACAGGAAACAGAGGCATAGAGAGGTTAAGTGACTTGCCCTAGGCAACAACGTTAGCAAAGTAACAAAGCTGGGACTTGAACATAGAACCTCTGTTCTTAGTCACTGCACATATCATCAAACATCATTGCATCAGGACACCAGAGCCATATGTAGCTTACTTTTCAGAGTGAGGTGAGAGAGGGTTCTACCATTTCCACCCTGAAATCTGCCAGGAGGCTGCTTCCTTTGTGAGAAGAGAAGAGCTGTGGGAAGAAGAGTCAGTCCATGTGAGAGTGAACGCACTCAGGCTGCAGTATAACTGGCCCACTGCTCCTCGTGGGATTATAAATGCAACTGCACATGCTATGCTAAGCCTGAGTCCCCAAGGATCTCAGTGAATTCTCTGTTTAAAAAGGAAACCTACCGTCTCTCCTAAAAACCACTGAGCAGAAACAGAAATCAATAGTGGTGCTATTATAACAATAAAAGCAATCCCATATAAAGCATTTATCATGTTCCAGGCACTGTTCTAGAACCTTACATATGATAACTTATTTACTCCTCACAATAACCCAGTGAAGTCAATACTTTATTATCCCCATTCTGTGGATGGGGAAACCGAGGCACCATGAGGTTAGTAATTTGCCACAGTCATAACAGTTAATAAATAGTGGAACCAAGATTCAAACCCAGGTGGTCTTGCTCCAAAGTCAACATTATTAATGACTACATTATGCTCCCTCTACCATCTGCTTCTTCAAGGAAAAAAATCCAGGTTAAAATCTATACAACTGTGTTTGGTCACTAAGACGATAAAATCACATAAGTTGGGCTAGAAAGGATTTTCATGAGCATCTATCTGTTCCCTCATTTTCACGAAAAGAAACCAAAGCCCAAAGAGGCAAACTGATTTGCCCATGGTTATAACAAGCCAGGACCAAATGGAGGTCTCCAGGTTTCCAGGTCAATGGTTTTGCCACATTATTTTCCAAGCTCTCTCAACTGGTCGGTTATTTTCTCAAATTTAAATTTTGACTCCTACCTTTTTGAAAGATCCCAGCTGCTACTTGCCTTGTATGAGTCTGTGTCAACAACTAAATAGCTGATCTGGATTTCATTCAACATAAATCTTTGAAAATCACAAAGTCTCATCTAAGTTGTAGCACTTATTTCAGACATAAGATAGTACTTTCTGAAACACTGTACAAATACCAAGTTCAAACCCCTTTCAAGATATGCACTTGGGAAAGAGCATGATGGAAATTTGCAATAAAATCTTCACCTCTGGGCTTCCCTGGTGGCGCAGTGGTTGAGAGCCCACCTGCCGATGCAGGAGACACGGGTTCGTGCCCCGGTCTGGAAGGATCCCACATGCCGCGGAGCGGCTAGGCCCGTGAGGCATGGCCACTGAGCCTGCGCGTCCGGAGCCTGTGCTCCGCAGCGGAAGAGGCCGCAACAGTGAGAGGCCCGCGTACCGGGAAAAAAAGAAAAAAGAAAAAAAAAAAAAGTCACCTCTTTATCTAATTAGCTTTTGCTAAAACAACAGAGAAAAAGTTGCACAAATGTCATGGATGTGAATGTATCTTGAAGTTGAGATTGTCCATTTCACTCAATCACAGAACGCAGATCTTAGACACCCCCTCAGTATCTACCACCAAAGAGAAGTCAGACTCTTCTGCAATCTTTCTGATGCATAGCCACCCAGCTCCATCCCTCTGTTCACACACTACTGAGTTGCCACTGTGGGCTTCTTGCACTGGCAGGAAGTTCATGACTTTGACAGAAAAAGAGAGTTATCTGTAGACCCATCAATATCAAGTCTCTACAGCAGTGCCATCGGAATATGCCTCCCTCTGATTTTTAGTGAATTTTTTTTTTCTGGTAAAGAGGGGCAGAGGAAATGCCATCTTCATCTTCCACAATTAAGAGACAGGAAGGCGGGACCCCAGT